GGAGCTCCTTAAACAAGTCTTTGGATGGACCAGACCAGGTTAAATTAACAGTACAAAAATTACATCGTATACAGTTATAGTTTCTCAATTTACTGTATTCATTGGTACTTTCCCTTCCAGAGTTTCCTTATCAGAAAAATTCCCTTAAGATTTTTTTCACACAAATTTCAAACTGCTTTCATACAATTACATATTGGTGATGGTTTGGTTACAGGAAACATAGTTTAACTACCTAAATTTCATATATATATATATTTATATATGCAAGATAATGGATCAATCAAACTAATACAAATAAGTTGTTTTTTTGACCTGTGAAAACAATGAATTCAACACCTTTATTTAAAGATGGAGACACAAAAAGTGTGAGGCATAAAAAAGGATTATTAGCACTTGTTTCTGTTCCAGATAACATTATTAGCACTTGTTTCTGTTCGGATATATAATAACATAACACAAGGATGTATACTCCAAATGACCAGAGTCTGTTAAGGTATCAAACAACATATATACACATCCCTCAACAGCTGGTAACAAAAACACTTTGGAGCCTTCATTGTTAATATAAGGTCAACATGTCACTGTCACTATATATACATTTTTCAGCAGTTAGCTGAACTTATAGATACTTATAAAAGTTGGAACTGACCGGCAATTATATACAAATCTTCCACTTGTAAAATTCCAAGCAATTTGCCTCAAGGAATTCTGGTTATTTTCCAACAAACTATTTTACATATCTACATCATCACAAACTCAATCATAAAATTATGTTAGATGTACGTTCTCAGTCGTGTCAATTTCCTGATTTTTATGGTAGGGTCAATACGCTGTATCGACAGGGAAGTGAAACAAAACAAATCTCTTGATACTTGATATGTACACACAAAACGGAACAAAAGGAACAGAATATTCAGTAATAAATTACCACAGCTGTTTCTCCCTCATCGATTTGTTTATATAATAATTAACTCCAGAGTTACCTGTGAATTGAATTATAGACATTTAGATTTTTTTTGTAGCTTTATAATTACTTGTCTACAACAAATAGCAATTTTCACATGATTTGCCATCACCATATATTTGTCTGACATTAGTATATCATATCTGTTGTAAAATAGTTATACTACATCTGTATATATGAAATTCTAGGACAAGGCAAGGGCAGTCAGCTGCGCCTCATATGGCTACAGATAACTGATGTTTGGTCTGAATGATCACTAAGAAAACGAAGTGTCAGCCATTTGTTTAGACACACTAACTAGGGTGAAATCTCGAAATTTGCAGAATTTGTTGTTATTTGGCTGGAAGATCAGTTATAACAGTCTCTGCCAATGGACCTTTTTTCATCTCACTAATTAGAAACACAAGTGATAAAGACTGTTTTATGGACAAAAAAGAATGGTTGCTGGTCACATAGAGCAGGTGATTGCTGTTTAGTGTTGCTGTATATTAAACATCATTTGGGACTCTTTCAAGTCTGTCATAATAGACAGGTATATAGGAAGTAGCTACAGATACAATGTAGGTATACTAGTGGCTGATGAAAATGTACATGTGGTTGTTATAGACAGGTGGTCACTAAGACTTATAGGTTTGACTGTATTTTCCATGGAGAATATGGGGTAGATTATTAATTCTGCCTCAAATTTGACAAGTCCCTTGCTCAAGTCCAACAGTGCATTGTATATGAAGATATCAGGAAGGAAGTAGTTTAGTGTGTGCTGATCATAAGCCTAAAAAGATTAAGCTTTCATAGAAATATGCATGCTTCAGGATGTATACATATAGACAAATATAACATTTATTTCCTGCAAATTCTTTTCAGACATATCAGTACTTGGGACTCATAATTCAAAGGTTGGGGCTTCTGAAAATTTTCAATATTTCTTTTTATTAGGCTTGCTAATTTTTTTAAAATATGAATTTGTTATATATCTGTTACACATTATACTCATTCTGGTGCATGTTCACATATTACAACTTAATTTATATAATAACTACTTGTTTTTTCTGGATCTAGTCATCTGTCTTTTTGCTAGAACTTTTATCCTGACACTTATAATTAATTAGTTGCTTAACAATTTGATACCATACATATCAGGTCAGTAATCAGTATTAATAAAACGTGCCTAAACCTGACCTTTCAATTTTTGACAGATAGTTAGGTAGGTAGGTAAAATATATAGCCTCTAAAAACTGTGTTTGATGTGTTGCATTCAAACAACACTGCCAATCAGAGATACTAAACAATGAAAAGGATAACTGTCTCAATCACACAATTTGAAAAAATATAATAACAAATCTATTTCAATTTTTAGCAAACTCTATCATCAAAACATTATCCAAGAATTATTCTATAGCAAAATAAGTACATGCATGGCAATGCTACAAAACATGCATGGTTTACCTGGTAAATCAAATTTTTAGAAAAGCAATCTTTCAAAGTAATAATTCTTTAACTCATTCACGCCTGAAATTTTATATTGAACTATTCCAACCTTTGAATTGGAAGAGTTATGTAAAGCTCTCATCAGATGACAAGTGCTACCCATTTCACTACTTAGTAATGCATCTGCCTTGTTTACAACTGTATCCTGGTAAAATGATAATCAGGATATTTCTACTTTTTCTTTTCAATCAAATTTGTTTTCATATATATGTTATGCAATAAAGTTGTTTTATTTCAAAATCGAACACAATAACAATGACAGTCTATCTTGTGAGTTAAAGCTCTTACATCATGTCAACTACACACACATTTGTACTTCCCCTTCCTTTAGTGAGTAATCGTTTTAAGGATCCCTGACATTTTTTTTGTATCTCACTGAAGCTCAACCGGTTCAGGAAACTACCATTGACCAGGAAGCTTTAAGCTGATTAGAGTGACATATATATATATATACTAATCCGAGGTCAAAGATTCAAATCCTGGTATTTTACACGGAAAATACTGCTGTTGATTTTTGTTGTTTATTTTATCTTTACTATTTTTTCATAAAAGCTCTATGAGGTATGTTTTTCTTTTCAGATATATATGATTTATCAAAGCAATCTTCAAATCAGGAAAAAAGTTTCAAATACCTAGTTCCATTTTCTGGCAGTGGTTCATGATCATATATATCCTTATTCCTCAAACTAACATGCAATATCCTACTAAAATAACAATCACAAACCTTCTACAATGTACTAACATATATTGCAATAGAACTGTGTTATTGAATGACTATATTCATCCCAACTTTTAATATATTCTCAACAAAAAACTGACACTATTGTTTCTTACATGTACATGTAGAACTGGGTGTATACCAGCAGCTACTCATGTTAGTCCTAATGTTAGCACTGGCCATTTAGTCTATATTTATCTCCTTCTACAACTGCTTAATACAGACACAGCTATTTCCTCTCCACAGTTACATGATCCTAGCTTCTGTAGCTGAGGCTAACAACTTTGTTTCCTTTAAACATAAGCTATTAACGTTAACTGTATCCTTTCTCTTTATAATGTATTGTCTCGGGGAAAACAGTTGGCTGCTTACAGTCAGATTGTTTTCGGTAGAAAAAACAAAAACTAAATATGTTAATTCATACTTGACATCCCTCCCTATTTAGGAGGGGGGGCTCCCGATTTTGGAGCCTTGAATTTAGTATTTTAAACCATTGAATTTGCTAACTCATTCCTATATTCTCAGATGTGATGATTTCATCTGAAAGTACAGCTTAAAATATGTCATTTTGAAGGGTTATTTTGTCTCGAGGGGGTGTATAAACAAGTTATTTATGTTTTAATTTTGAGCATGCAGAATCTCCCTCATGGAAATTTCCCTCAAAAAATTGGCAAGTATATATGTTAAATAAAACGGTCTATCTCTTTCTGTCTTTATCTTTACTTTTAAACAATTAATACTATATTCTTGATACTGGATTTACTGCTTAAATCTGTATTTAATTTTCGTTCACACCATCCTAATTCAACATGTGTAATCACATAAACATATAGTTGTCAGATGTAATGTGACAAAGCCACATATCCTGATAAGGTCATTTAAATCTAGTCATTGGCTTTCCAAGTTTCCAACAATTCCAAACATAGTATCATAACAGTCAAGTAGTTGTTTGGTTTACATCAATCAAAACTGGGAAGCTTGTTAGTCTTGTAACTGTATGTTTTCCAATTTTGATCTCAGCTAATATAAATTTAAAATTTACTTTCAAAGTTGAAGAAATGGAAACAAATCTGAAATGTGAAAAAGATTAAAGTATTTGAACATAACCCACTTTAAGGTTTACCATCAATCAATAAGTTATAAATGTTCTATGATTACCTGATGTACATAGAAACACTTCATCCATCATTATTCATGATGTGTATTGCACAGTACTGTCAGTTTATTAGGGCTGTGTATTGGAAATGGAACACACTGTATATCTCAGCCACTGCCCACTGTTTGCAATCATTAAAATGACAGTAACATATTCATTTCTTTACTATATACTTCATGTATAGTATTCAATTTCAATTATATGTTTATTATGTGGTGTGCATATAAGCATGATAAAGCATTGTGACTTCAGACAGTCTGACTGCATCTGAAGACTCCCATCAAAGATGATGTTGTCTGAAACGTGATATAAACTTACCTCATTGTTGGTTGATTAAACCGGTTTCTCTGTCTGTGCTCAGAAGTCAAGAATCAAAGTGGCAAACGCATACACCAAATGATAGAAGCGGATATCCTGTTTACGTTCTCTTGTTTTATATAAACTTGTTTCCGCATAACCCCATCTTCCTTGTCACAAAAGTAACGCCATTATTGACATGCGAGAATTATGGGATTAATAAAATGTATTGGACAAATTTCTTTCAAAAACGTATTAAATTGTGGTTAAACGTAAATTGTAAACACATTAAAAATACAGTAAGGGCTGAATAAAGTTTAAATTACTCGAAAAATGAGATAATCTATCCTGAAATGTACCGGAAGTTACATTATCTCCGTAGCCTTGTTATCGTTTTTAACTTCCGGTACAGTTTGTTCATTGCTAACACGTTGCATCCTCACAAGTTGGTACCGGTGAAAGAAAGGAAAGAAAGATTCTCAAAATGACTTTTATGACTTCGTGGGAAGAGTTTTCAAAAGCTGCCGAACGTCTATATTTAAATGACCCGTCAAAAGTAAGAATATCGAGGATATAACCGTGACATAACATTCCAAGAAACAATTATTGCAATATGTCAATGTGACAAAATTTTGTAAAATGTCTTGTACCCTGTTAAGAAGTTGCATTAGGACGCAAATGCATCCTCTCCGTCTCAATGAGTATCCTTTTGTGTTCAGATAAAACACATTCACCAAACGACATATGAACTATTTATATCTGGAAACAAGAATTTAAAGCATATGTTGTCTGATTTGTTTACAACTTGATAAAATTTACACTTAACAATGTCATGCGATTGGACAATTGCAGTAAAATCATGCACAGGTTGTTAAGTAAATTTATTTTTTGGATGTACATGTATTTGTTATTTAGACACAACCCAAATTAAAAGGATAACATAATTTTTGGACATTTAATGCTCCATCCTTTTGGCAACCTGTACATGTAGTCATTTCAGTATCAAGTTCAAGTAATGTTTTGTGAAGACAAAAAAATCTTAAATTATATAAATCAGAGACACACAGACTTGTGCACAAAAAGTTTACAATGTGCCAAATTGAAACATTTCTCTTTTAAAAGGTATTGAAATAGTATTGGAACAGGAACAGTTTATATGGTTAACTAAATTACAATTTAATAACTTCAATAAGATTCATCAGTTTGAAAATATGTGATTTCAAAGTTTTACTTTGAATTTCTACACAAACAATGTACATATTAAATGTGTCACAACGTTTCAAGACCAACTAGTCCCTTTGTCAAGCTATGACTGAGTGAGTGATTTGTATTTTTACTTGTGCAACGATATGACGAAGTTGTATATTTGTTCTTCTTCTTCCTGATACAAGTCATACTCTATTACTCTTGACTCTTTTATGTCACTCGACCCAGGACATTTTGTCTATTGATAGGGAACGTATACACACTGCATGATCTAAACATAAAATAAATTTACTATATATATCATCACTATTGAATATAACACTATAATGTTTGATACATTTACCACTGTGAAGATACAACTTCATTATGTACTGGTAAAACAGTAATATATGGTTAAATTTACAAAATAAAATATTAACAAATAAAAATCAGGCCTGTATTGAAGATGTTCTGTCATATGATGATGATAGAACGGATAAAGACTATGTTGTAAAGATAGTGTTTTATATACATACAATGTATATGTGTTTTCTGTGTTTTAGTGTCGATATACAATCAAGTACAGACATTGTGATGGGAAAATTAATGTGAAAGTGACAGATGATTCTGTGGTAAGTATTTCATTCAATACCAAACTTATAATGAGCTTAACCCTTTCACCCCTATGTTACTTTAGTTAACTCTTCCATGCATTGATCTGGATGAATCCATTTTGGTCTCCAGTGATGAAAGGATTAAGCATATATTGCATATACATGACGTGTATGGTTTCAGTTATTTCAAAAGATCTAATTATAAATATGCATTATTAATTATTAATCTAGAAACTGTAAATGGATTTTTTCCCCAGAACTATGGTAATTAAAATAAGACATGTTATAATATGTTACAATGTGTCCCATTCAAGGACAAGAATTATGATCCGGTATAAAAGGACCTACAAAGCTGGTTTCAAAACATTTATCAGTGGCCAAGATTATATTCTTGTGTGAATAAGTCATAATACTTAAACCCCCGGTTTTCTTGTCCTTTCTTCTAAGGCCCCAAAAGATATATTGTGTTTCAGGTATACCTATATGCCTACCTACCCTAGATTTTACTGCTGACCGTATATATTTTATCACCTACTTGTATCTAAGATTAATTTATTAGCCAGGCAAAGTTCACAGCCACTCATTAAACTGTACTTTTTTCCTGTTCTTTGAGTCTGACCCTATTCTTCACGAATTATAATTAATAGCCATTGTAATTGTGATGAAATGCCTAAATGGATTGTAAAATTTGAAATAAATCATAATATTAATTCACTAAAATAAAAAAAATAACAGAATAAAATTATTTGCCTACTGACCTACCCTATTTTATTCAGTGTTATTCATGTTACATGAAACAAACTGATTTTTTTAGGTCACCTGAGACAAAGTCTCAAGTGACCTATTGCGATCGCCTTTTGTCCGTCGTCGTCCGTCGTGCGTCCGTAAACAAATTACATTTTCGACTTCTTCTCCAAAACCCCTGAACCAATTTCAATGAAATTTTGCAGGGACCTTCCATGGACAAAGGTCAACAAAAATAGTTGCCGGTTTAGTCCTAAGCCCCC